TGGGTCAGGTGCAACTTAGTCATTAAAGTGACATCTTTGCTTTTAACACTTGAAAGAGGTCTTTTGCAGCAGACTTGCCCAGTGCAATGCGTCGTTTGATTTCTTGACTGCTGCTTCCATGGGTGTTGATTGTGGATCCAAGCAAAATGAAATCCTTGACAACTTCAATCTTGTCTCCGTTTATCATGATGTTGCTTATTGGTCCAGTTGTGAGGATTTTTTTTTCTTGTGCCCCTCACTCTGCATATCCATTTATTCTGTATCCAGTGGCCTAAAGAATTTATCCACCAGGTATACAACAGGGCCGTGGCAAAGAAGTTTCAGAAGAGGACAGGAAGAAGACAACAGAAGCTTGTGTGGAACTTTAGAAGTGCTCATCATGGAAGTCGATTTAACTGCTCACCCTGGGAGGTAGTTATGTCACATTGGAAGGCCATCGGCAGAGCAAGGATTAGAATCTTGAACTCTTACTCCCTGTACAGTGCTCCTCATCCCTCACCCTGTGTCAGAGATCAAACCTGGTTTCAAGCACAGTTGAAACTTCTGGAGTGGGCTTGAGGGTTCTGGCACCAGGGGCATCTTGCTGTCAGTACTGCTCTAAGAACTCTCCTCTGTCACAATCCTGAATCCAAGCCTGACTAGAAACTGGGTGGCTGCCTCAGTAATTGCCTTGCCCCTGGGTCACCGCAGACCAACAACCTGCCTTCTCTTGCCAGTGTCTGTCTCCGTCACCCTGCAGGAGGACATCCGCCCACCAGTCTATCAACAGAGTCACACATCTGAATCCCTGCTTAGGTCTATGTTGTGAGCCAGCTTCAGGAGTTCTTAGTTCAATCACTCTTTTGGCATTGCTTTTTTTCCCTAAAAAATAAATTATCTATCATAAATATTATATTCGTGACAAAACACATTAAGCATTAAGGAGAAATAAAATTCCTATCTTCCTTTCTTGACTGATTTTTCTTTTTGTAATATGATCCCATTTATTATTTATTTACTGTTTATTGCACTTTAGGTTAAAGTTTACAGCCCAAGTTAATTTCTCATTCAAAAATTTATACACGTTGTTTTGTGACATTAGCTGCAATCCCCACAATGTGACAGCACACTCCCTCTTTCCACTCCAGGTTCCCTGTGTCCATTCAACCAGTTCCTGTCCCCTTCCTGCCTTTTCAACCTGCTTTTGGACAGGAGCTGCCCATTTGGTCTCGTATATCTGATTGAACTAAGAAGCACATTCCCCGTGTATTATTTTTTGTTTTATAGTCCTGTCTAATCTAATCTTTGTCTGAAGAGTGGGCTTTAGGAATGGTTTCAGTTCTGGGTTAACAGTGTGTCTGGGGGCCACGGTCTTGGGGGTTCCTCCAGTCTCTGTCAGACCATTAAGTCTGGTCTTTTTACATGAATTTGAGTTCTGTTCTACATTTTTCTCCTGCTCTGTCCGGGACTATCTGTTGTGTTCCCTGTCAGGGCAGTCATTGGTGGTAGCCAGGCACCATCTAGTTCTTCTGGTCTTAAGCTGGTGGAGTCTCTGGTTAATTTGTTCCTTTAGTCCCAGTTGTCAGGATTTTTGTTTTATGTTGAGGTGCAATCCATACTGAAAGCTGTAGTCTTTGATCTTCATCCATGCTTAAAGTCCTCTTCACTTTCAGCAAGCAAGGTTGTGTCACCTGCACACCGCAGGTTGTTAGTAAGTCTTCCTCCAATCCTGATGCCCCATTCTTCTTCACAGAGTCCAGCTTCTCGGATTATTTGCTCAGCATACAGATCGAATAAGTATGGTGAAAGGATACAGCCCTGATGCACACCTTTCCTCACTTTAAACCACGCAGTATCCCCTTGTTCTATTCAAATGACTGCTTATTGGTCTATGTACAGGTTCCTGATGAGCACAATTAAGTGTTCTGGAATTCCCATTCTTCGCAATGTTATCCATAATTTGTTATGATCCACACAGTTGAATGCCTTTGCATAGTCAATAAAACACAGGTAAACATCTTTCTGGTGTTCTCTGCTTTCAGCCAAGATCCATCTGACATCAGCAATGATATCCCTCTTTCCACATCCTCTTCTGAATCCGGCTTGAATTTCTGGCAGTTCCCTGTTGATGGACTGCTGCAATCACTTTTGAATGATCTGCAGCAAAATTTTACTTGTGTGTGGCCCTGGTGGTGCAGTGGTTAAGAGTTCGGCTGCTAACCAAAAAGGTCGACAGTTCGAATCCACCAGCCGCTCCCTGGAAACCCTATGGGGCAGTTCTACTCTGTCCTATAGGGTTGCTATGAATCAGAATCGACTTGACGGCAATGGGTTTGGTTTGGTGATATTAATGATATTGTTCGATAATTTCTGCATTCTGCTGGATTACCTTTCTTTGGAATGGGCACAAGTATGGATCTCTTCCAGTTGGTTGGCCAGGTAGTAGCTGTCTTCCAAATTTCTTGGCATGGACAAGTGAGCACCTCCAGCACTGCATCCGTTTGTTGAAACATCTCAGTTGCTATTCCGTCAATTCCTGGAGCCTAGTTTTTTGCCAATGTCTTCAGTACAGCTTGGACCTCTTCCTTCAGTGCCATCAGTTCTTGATCATATGCTACCTCCTGAAATGGTTGAATGTCAACCAATTCTTTTTGATACAGTGACTCTGTGCATTCCTTCCATCTTCTTTAGATCCTTCCAGCATCATTTAATATTTTCCCTGTAGAATCTTTCAATATTGCAGCTTGAGGCTTGAATTTTTTCTTCAGTTCTTTCAGCTTGAGGAACGTCGAGCGTGTTCTTCCCTTTTGGTTTTCTAACTCCAGGTCTTTGCACATTTCATTATAATACTTTACTCTGTCTTCTTGAGCTGCCCTTGGAAATCTTCTGTTCAGCTATACTTTACTTTGTCTTCTCGAGCTGCACTTCGAAATCTTCTGCTCAGCTATAGGGTCGCTATTAGTTGGAATCGACTAAACAGCAATGGGTTTGTTTTTTTCGGGACTCAGCAGCTAACAACAACTACTTTTACAGTCTACCCAACAGATTCACACTCCCCTCACGCACACAATTCCATTTAGTCTTAGGTCATCTTCCTCAGTCAGCTGTGGCTGTACACAGTCATTCATTTACAACTGCTATGATAGTACCTTACGAAGTTTCAAACACACAACCACATTTCCTCTCACAGTCTGCTTCACATCCTCTCCGAGTAACAATCTCATAAGCTGTTCCAGCCATTCATTCAGTCCCAGCCATTTTCTGTTTCCTCCCATATACAAAGTAAGTTACTGACTTACAGTTACCAGTACCGTCATGAAGTTTCTCACACATACACATCATGTGGTCTCTCGGTGTCTCATTCACACAGTCTCATTTTCTCGGTTTTCCACAAACATACAATTTACAGTTTAGTTTCTTATGAAATGTTTTATATACCTCACATTCTCAGATACTGTCTCAGTCACTAGTTTTCTCTCACACAGTCAGCTTCTCATATGCATGCCCATACACAGAGTTGTTGACTTCCAGTTGTTGTTACTTACAGTCTCTTGCACTGTTTCCGCCGCTCAGTTTCACCATCATTTCCCCTCACTTTCTCATATATAGTCACTGAATCTGTTGGGAGAGCCTATAGTAGTAACCGTAAATCAATTTGCCACTAGTCTTCCAGTTTCACACACATACATGGCACAGTTATAGTCTCTCATACTCTCCAGTCACAGGTATTTTTTCTGTTTCTCACATACACAGTCTTTACTACTGTCTCTCATGAACAGTTTTCATACACACAATCACACATTCCATATGTTGTGTCTTGGTCACCCACTTAGCCTCATAGCTATTTTCTCTCATATAATCAACTTCTCACACATGCACTCCTATTACTTTGGCTGTTACTACAGCCTCGCATGAACAGTTTCACACATAGTCCATCTCTAAGCACTGTTACCTTCTTACATACAGTGAAGTTTCTCACCTATACATAACTCCCTACAACCTCTAACACAGATTCATGCCCAGTTTCTTATGCATTGTTTCAGTCACTCAGTCCGTCTTGCTCACTATCAGCTTGTCAAAAAGTGACTGATTTACAGTAGCTCTTGCCTTCTCATAAACATTATTTCATACACACCATCACAATTTCTTGTACAGCATCTTAATCATTCATTTTTCACAGACACAAAGTCAAAAATCTGTGGTCACAACTTCTAAATTTCACACACACACACACACACAGCTTACCACACAGCTTCTTTCTCACACACATGGTTGCCAATTTGTAGTCTCTATAATTTTTGACACATACCATCACACCATTTGTCTCACAAGTAATCGCTGCCTCACACTTACCACCTTCCACACAAAGTCATGTCTGTCACACTCAGTCCTGATGACATCGCGGAAAAAAATGCCAGCAGCCTCCAGCATCACCTTTAAAAATATATATTTACAGGAACAACTCCCCATTCTCTGGCACTCTTAGAAAAAAAGATCCATTTTGGGGAAGTAAAACAGTGGAGACAGGCATAGCACCGTCCCCCAAATCACCAACCCCCAGGTCTCCAGGCCTGGGCTGGGCCTTTGATGTCAGGAAGCGAGCCCAGGAGTCTTTTGAACCCACCCTCTCCAGCCTTGAATTGACACAGGACAGGCTTTATGTCCCCCATTCCTCCCTCCCAACTCCAGGGACGCTTAAAGGGTCCTTCATACCTGCCCGCAGGAAATTGGGGGGCTGGGAGGGAGGGAACTGAAATACATGTTTGGTATCAAAAATAAACACTTGGGGGTGGCAGGAAGATCCCCCAAATCCCTTCCTTCCCACCCACCCCCATCTCAGATACAGGAAGAGATGCCCCCTCTCCCTTATTGAAAAGCCCTGTTTAAAAATAGATTATACTATCAAAATGGCTGGGGGTGGGGGGACAGGGAGATCTGGAGTACTGGCTGGAGGGGCTCCCCCAGACGGGAACCACCCCCCCAAAACCCTCCTTTGGGAGGTAACAGGCAGGACCCCAGGGAGTTTGGCAGACAAAGGAATGGCTTCTCAGGGGGGAGAAGAGCAAAGGGGGCGTTCCTCCCTCACCAAAAAGTTGGTTGAAAAAAGGACAAGCTGTCTGAAAGAAAGGTTGGAGAGGTAAAAAGTTCTATTCCAAGGGTGTGAGTCTTCCTTGGCCAAGACTCCCAAACTGTTAAACGGTGCAGAATTCTTCCTAGACCTTTGGGTATGTCCAGGAACAAGAAAATAAATCAACCTAGCTCTTCTACCCACCTAAAAAGGAGACAAGGCTCCCACATCTCCCCAAGGGCTAGCTGAGAAATAAATAAAGAAATGCTCTTCTCATGCCAGACCCTGATTGTCTCATCTTGGGGGAAAAATGTAGAGATGGGGAAGATGTCCTCACCAACCCCCTAAAAGGGAGGGCCAGACTCCTCCCAATGGCCTTCAAAAAATAAATAAATAAACCGTCCCTACCACTGAAGTAGAAGACGAGTAAGGGCGGCCACTGGGGGGCTGACGAAGAAGTTGTGCTTTCTGCGTGTGTGTATAGGGGTAGGGGTTACTCAGATCCTTCTTCCCAAGAGTCCCCATCCCCAAACCAGAGCGTGAGTCTGTCAGTTGAATTGTTTCTTCTTGAGAAGGCTGGCTGGAGAGAAGATTGGGGGCATGAATGGAGTGACCCCAGCAGAGGGTGATGTTGGTGGTAGTCATGGCTTCTGGGGCCCTGGGGAGAGCACCACGGGGGTTGAAAGGCCGTCCACGCTGATGGAAGGAATGTGCACTTGGGCGCTGCCACTGGACGGAAACTGGGGGGCAGAAATAGGGAGAGGTCATAGATTAGGGTCATGCTAGGGTCTCTCACCCTCTCCAAGATGGGGGATAGGGACCCTACCTGGAAGGAGAGCTTGGCCGGGCTACGGGGTGCAATGGGACTCAGGGTGCTCCAGAAGTGAATGCTGGGGGGCAGCGAGCTGGGCGTCAGCAGCACCGGGGTCTGCGAGGAAGGGGTGGTTGGAGCTCAAGTGAGCAGAGGACAGGTATGGGAAGATGGAAGGGACTTGGTTCTAGTCCCACCACAGATTTTCCACTCAGATTCCTGAGGTTACTCCCCAAAACTCCACAAGCCTAAGCCATAACCACTAAGGCCTTGCCCGCAGGCATCTCTCAAACTTTACACAGACACCACCCCACACCTGCAACTCCTGAGAGCTCACCCCCAGTTCCAGAGACCTCATTTGGCAAGACCACCCATAAGACTTCCTCCACATGCTGCTCTCAAACCTCACAGTCACCATCCCAACAGGTCAGGCTCAACCTCCAACTCTCATGCCCCATCTGTAATACCTCACAGGAACCCCTTCACTAAGTCAAACCAAAAAGCCCTACTGAGGCTCCTTAAGCCCTGCTCCAACCCAGTAGTAGTTCCCACAGAGGCCTATCCTCCTGCATTGGGGTCTCTTTTGCCCTTCAATTAAATCAAGTCCTATCCCTGCTCGCTCCCTGGGTACTGCCCCCTCACAGGGAACCGAACTCGCGTTGGCCATCAGCCCAGTTCCTCTCCTCTCAGTTGCCCGCCACCTGCCAATCCCATTTGTCCAGGTCGTCAGCCCCGCCCCTTCGCAGGCACTCACCAATGTATGCGTCGGTAGCAGGGACGGTGTCAGTGCCGGCCCCGGAGCCTGCAGGCCAGAGCCAGTTCCTGATCCTGGAGTCCGTTCTGGTCCCGGCCCACCCAGCAAGCTCGGGCTGAGTGGAAGCTCCAAGTCCCGGGGCTTCCGGCCCTTCTGTGGCTGCACGATCTCTGTGCTGGAAGCTGTGGAAGATGCTAGGCCTGCCCCTTGAGTGGCCGTCTCCATAACGACCGCGGGAGGAATTTCCGGCCCAACCTTAGTGGCTTCCGGCACAAACCCCGCCTCCCCACTGGTCGCAGTTTTCAACTCTTCTTTGGGCCTGTCCACTTTCACTTCTGGGGGCAGTGGCCGGCCCAGCCCCGGTTCCACATTCATCTCCTCTGATTTCGGGTTCGGGGCCTCGGGCGGGGTCAGGATAACCTGGGAGAGGTGCGGGTGCAGAGGGGGCGCATAAGAACTCTTGGGGAGTAGCGAAGCTTTCTCCAGCGGGCCAACCATTGATTTCCCTTGGAATAAGGGACTTAGTCCTGGGGACGAGGCCTCCAACAGGTCGTGGGACTAGCGGGGCTTCCTCTGGGGCAAGTCCTCTAACTGGGGGCAGGGCAGCTGGGGCAAGACAATCTCATGGGGGTAGGACTCCCGGGGATACCTCCCTCGTTCGTTAAAGCAATGGTTCTCAAAAATTTGATTTATGGACTAGCAGCATCTACCTCATCTGGAAACTTGTTAAAAATGGAAGTTCTCAGGTCCCTCCCCAGACCCACTTAAACAGAAATGCTGGGGTTGGGGCCCAGCAATGATGAGTGCTAAAGTGTAAGAACTCATGCATTAAACAAATGTCCAGGGTACCTACTACATGCTGGGTAACTACTAAGTGTAGCACGTTTAACCTCCCTCTTCCTTCTCAGGACTTCCATAGCTCTCCTCCCCACCGCATTCTGCATTCTCCATTCTCCAATGGGACTTCTGGGTCCATCCTCCCACCCCATCTCCTCTAATAGGACTCAGGAATTGTACTTCCCTCCTTCTCACCCTCTCCTCTTACTGAATTTACAGATTCCAGTCCTCACCTGCAGAGGCAGGCCAGCCTCCTCTGCCTCCAGGCAAGCCTCCAAGGGGCTTGGACTGGTGCTACTGCTCCCTGAGGGGGGTGCTGCTGCTCCTGCAGAGGCGGTGTTGGGGAGCACCGAGGCAGGCCGAGGATGAGGGGGTGGCTGTGGCTGAGGCTGAGGCGGGGGCTGTGGCTGCAAGGACTGGATGGTGAAGGTGGAATAGAGGCCTGAGCGCATGTACTCGTTCCGGCTGCTGCGTGCCAAGCCGCCTGGGCCTGCCATTCCTGTGCCCTTGGGTGTGCCTGGCTTCCCCGAGGCAGAGTCCCCGGGGGCAACGTGTACAGCAGCAGGGGCCACATTTGCCACGGAGGAGGTGACAGACACCTCAGGCTGGGGCAGGCAGTCCTCAGTGGAGCACCCCGCGACCTCAGGGTATGACACAAACTTGTAAACGAACTTCTGGCCGCTCACCTTTCGGATGATGTTCTGGGAAGGGAGGAGAGGGGATACAGGGACTTAGAGGAAAGGGGCAGGATGGAGGGAAGGTGTGGATGCATGAGGAGGTGGTGGAAGGGGGCCTCTCTTCTCCTAGTGTCTTTCTTCCCACTCGCCCCTCTCCTGTCTTTTTATGTATATGCCCTCCCTCCTCATATGTTCCTCATTTCTGCCCATTTCGTATCTCACCCATCTCTTTAAATTTACAGCTACTTCCTTTTCCTCCTTCAGTCTCTTCCTCTTTCTTCACCTTCCCCAGATTCCCCTTTCTGTTTCCCTCCTCAGCCTCTCTGTTCTCTATTCTCCCCTCCACAATTATTTCTTTAGTTTACTGCCCTTCTCTCCTTTCCCTGTCTACCTTCCGTTTTCCTTCCCATCTATCTCCAAGTCTCCCTCTGTCACTCTTTGTCTCCATCTGTCTGTCTCCACCCTCCATCTCAGATACACACACAAGCCCCTCTTCACAATGGGGCCCATCTGGGGGAGTAGGTACAGGAGCAGGGTTTCTTCTGGCTTCAAGAACCAGGGGTGTCTGTGGGCTGACAGGGTCAGGCCTTGGGAGTGGCTGCCAAGACACAATTTTGGAGAACAGCTAATGCAATAAGATAGGAAAATGAAATAACTGATAATAAGTGTTGGAATTAATGTAGAAAAATGGGATGATGAGTTATTAATAGAGGATTATTTAAAGCTGTTGACATAGAACTGGAACAAGGAAAGGTCAGTAGAGAGGACATGGTGAGGAGTCCTCATTATTAAATACTGTTGTGGAGGTTTTAGCTAAAGCAATGAGAAAATGAAGTAACTGATAGCAATAGAACAAGAACATTAAAATACTGGAATAGATATTGGGGAGGGGGATCTCAAGGCTGGCCTTGGTGGGTCCCAGAGCATGTTTTCAGGACAGGTCTGGAGGGTCTCATGGGTGCTCTGGTGGTACCACAGAGCCTCGTTATTAATATTGTTTTGGAGGTTTAAGCTAAAGGAATAAAATATGAAAATGAAAAAATGCTATAAATATTAAGGGTGTGTAGCACAGGTCTAGGGCTGCTCTGGGGGGGCACAAGGAACCTGGGGGATGCTGGAGCACTCTGGAAGGGTTCTTAATGCTAGTCAGGTATGTCACAGGGTGGGTTTGCGTTTCTCAGAAGAGGGATGAAAACAGATTCATATTGTTTTGGAGGTTTTAACCTAAGAAATAAGAAAATGAAACAACTGGTATAAATATCGACAGTACTGGTCTGAAAGTCTAAGAGGATAGGACGACGAATGTTTAAAAATTTAGCTGTAGGAATAAGATGATAAAATAACTGATACAAATATTAGGACAGACCAGTGCTACTATGAGAATACAAGAAGATGGCATGTAGAGATGGCATTAAATAGATATTCTTTTGGAGGTTTTAGCTAAAGGAATAAGAGAAGAAAATAAGTAATTGAAAAGTTCAGTATAATATAATATAATCATGGATGTTTTGATTCCAAGAATAAGCTTAGAACATAAAATAACTAGGGGAGCTCAGCACTGGTCCAGGGGTTCCAAAGCACAGAATGAGGAATGATCATTATTAATAGTGTTTTCAAAGTTTTGGCTATAGGAATAAGGCAAGAAAATTAAATGTTGTACAGGGTGTGGTGGGACAGCACTGCTCTGGGGATCTCAGATGATGGGGTAAGGAGGGTCAGTATTAATATTGCTATGAAGGGTTCAGTCAAAGCAGTAACACAAGAAAATAACTGATATAAATGTTTGGGGGCCCAGCATTGGTCTGAGGGTGCCAGAAGATGGGGTAAGAAATGGCAAATTTTAATACTGTTTTCAAAGTTATAGCTACAGCAATTAAAACAAGAAAATGAAATAACTGACAGAAATGTTGGGGATTACTAGCACTGGTATTAGAGACCTTACCTTGTCATAGTAGTACCGCAAGGCCCGGCTAAGCTTGTCATAATTCATGTTGGTCTTGTTCTTGCGCAGTCCCCATAGCCGGGCCACCTCCTCTGCATCCACCAGCTTGAACTCACCACCATCCCGTGAGGTCCAAGAGATGATATGGCCATTGCTTTGCTCTCTCAGCAGCTGCAGCAGAAACTGCCACAGCGTCACAGATGGGTCCATTGCTAGGGAAGCACTCACGCCATCCCAGGGGTCTGGAGGGCAGACAGCTCAGAGCTGAGAGGCTGTGGACACAAAAGGGGTAGAGGTCAGCAGGAAGAGGATTCCCTTCTTGCCATCTTGCCTCCATCTCTGTCCCCAAACCCCACTATCATTCCCTAAACACCCTCAAACTAAATTCTAAACTCCTCAGCCTGGCTTTGGATGATTCCTGTAATGGGATCATACTTCTGGGGACCTTGGGATGGTGTGAATGTATTTTGCATGTGAGACAAACATGAACCTTTGGGGGCCAGAGGGCGGACTGTGGTGGGCAGAATAATGGCTCCTCAAAGATGTCCATGTCCTAATCCCTGGAACCTGTATGCTACTTTACATGGCAAAAGGAATTTTGCAGATGGAATTAAGATTACAGATTTTAAGATAAGGAGATTATCCTGGATTATTTGTGTGGGCTCAATCTAATTTTAAAAGAAGAAGAGAGAGGCAGAAAGGTAACTCAGAGAGATGCAAGGACAGAAGAGGCAGGAGAGATTCAAAGCGTGAGAGGGACTCAACCTGCTGTTGCTGGCTTTGAAGATGGAGGAAGGAGGCTATGAGCCAAGGAATGTAGGCAGCATTAAAACTGGAAACCTCTTAAAGCTGGTCATGGCCCTCAGCTGACAGCCAGTAAGAAACCTCAGTCCTACAACTGCAAGTAACTGAATTCTGCCAACAACCCAAACAAGCAGGAAATGGATTCTCCCCTGGAGCCTCCAGAAAGGAACACAGCCCTGCCAACACCTTGATTTCAGGTTGGTGAGACCTGCGATGGACTTCTGACCTACAGAAATGTAAGGTAATAAATTTGTGCTGTTTTAAGAAGCAAATTTTGTAATAATTTGTTACAGCAGGAATAGAAAACTAATATAATCCCCCTCACCTGACTTTATCATTTTATCTTCTATCACATCAAACAATTTCAAGTTTTTTAGGAGGTTCATTTTGCCAGGCCCTTGTGAAGGCTGTTCACTCCATCTGGGGCTCCCATCCTCTGCCTGGAAGTCTTCCTCATCTTTCAAGTCCTTTTCAAGGGTCCTGTCCTTTATGAAGCCTTCCTGGAACTGAATGCCTGCTCTCTTCTGTCCCTCTATCCCCCACTCCTCTGACCCATTACTGTTCTTGCATGTTCTCCCTCTTAATAACAACAGCAATAACTAACACTGATTGAGTGCTTAGCACATGCCAGGCACTGTTCTAAGCAGAAACGCAATACAGCCTACTGAATAATCACCCAGGCTCTGGAGCCAGACTGCCATGGTTTGATTCCTGGTTCTGCCACTAACAAGTTGTGTGACCCTGGGCATATTCTTTAACCTCTCTGCACCTCATTTTTCTCACCTGTAAAATAGGAATAATAACATTCTTATCTATAGAGATAATAATAATACCCAGTTCATGGAGTTATTGTGTAGATTAAATATAATATTCCTAGAGTAGGGAGGCTCTAAATAAATATTAGCTACTAATTTGTTCATGATTCTTTATCTGCTACTTCAAAATCCAAAAACCTCTAAAAATGAAAAGCTTCTTTGTAACTCCTTTGGCAGCAAAAACTGATTTGAAATTAAACAAGGCCCTCTCTGATCTTTATTGATCTTTACTTAATGTGAATATTCATAATTTCTGCATACATATGCAGAAATATGAACATAGCTGATTACAGAATCTACTAAGGGTGTTATGTAATGTGTATTTACATAATATTACCTTTTTAAAATCCAAAAAATTCTAAATTTTGAAACCCATCTGGCACCGAGGGTTTTGGATAAGGGAGTGTAGACCTGTACTGTTAGAGGTACTGACTCATTTATTCCTCCCTAATTTATAGAAGAGGAGGATGAGGCACTGTCTCAATGACCTGTACAAGGTCACATAACCACAAGTGGCAGAGCTACTTTAAACCCAGGCAGTCAGGTTCCAGTTGTCTAACTCTTAACCATGAGGCTAAACTGCCCCTCACACTGACTGTTCCCTCTCATCATGCCCACAGAGAACAGGATCCTCCCCGTACCTCCTATACCTGCTCTCTTTTCTGAAAGCAAATAGGAAATAAACATGGATAGGCTTCTTATCCCTTAGGGGAATGAGCTTTAATCAATCAACTGTTCAAATGGCTAGGATCATTGGATTAAGAATAAAACCTTCCAAATCAGACAGTTTTGAAGAATCTGCCTCCATTATTTACAGATGGATTCTTTAATCTGCAATGACTGACACACACACACACACACACACACACACACACACACACACAATCCTCTTATGTCCGAGTTCTTTCAAAGTTTATTCAGCAGAGACAGTTTTAGGCAATTGTGTAAGTTACAAAGCCATGAACGGTGTCCAGAATAGAGAGTCCTGTCATCCGAGATCTCACTGTGTTTATTTCGAAGCCCACTTGTTTCAGAGGTGCAAAGAGTTCAGTGTGACTCCTGGTGGCCAAATTGTACCAGTTCCTCTTTCAGCTACAACACAACCTATCGGTTAAGTGAAATCTGACGGTTTGCTTCAAGTCTCATGAGCGCAGAGGGTTTTGTATTTCATGTATTATCACATCTCCCATTTGATCCCTAATAAGAAATCTAGTAATTTGCCTTACTCAAATGTGTTTACTTCTCTTATTCATTTAGCAAACATTTATTGAGTGTCTACTGCTTCCATAAAGAATACAGCCTTGGAAACTGTTATGGATTGAATTGTGTCTCCCAAAAATGTGTGTCAACTTGGCTAGGCCATGACTCCCAGTATTGTGTGATTTTTTTGTCATCTGATGTGATTTTCCTATCTGTTGTAAATCCTACCTCTATGATGTTAATGAGGCAGGATTAGAGGCAGTTATGTTAATGAGGAAGGACTCAATCTACAAGATTAGATTGTATATTGAGTCAATCTCTTTTGAGATATAAAAGAGAGAATCGAGCAGAGAGACAGGGGGACCTCATACCACCAAGAAAGCAGAGCTAGGAGTGGTGCACGTCCTTTGGACCAGGGGTCCCTGTGCTGAGACACTCCTAGACGAGGGGAAGACTGATGACAAAGACCTTCTCCCAGAGCCGACAAGAGAGAGAAAGCCTTGCCCTGGAGCTGGCACCCTGAATTCGGACTTCTAGCCTCCTAAACTGTGAGAGAATAAATTTCTCTTTGTTAAAGCCATCCACTTGTGGTATTTCTGTTACAGCAGCACTAGATAACTAAGACAGAGACCCTATGGGGCAGTTCTACTTTATCCTATAGGGTCATTATGAGTTGGAATCGACTTGACAGCAATGAGTTTACTGTGAGCCAGGTGCTGGAGATACAGCAGTGAACAAAACAGACAAAAATCCCTGCTCTAGTGGAATTCATATTTTATTGGGGAAGACAGACAAAAAACACGATAAACAAGTAAAAAGAATGTAGATGATGATAAAAGGAATGGATAAAAATAAAGCTCAGGAGGAGTAATTTTTAAAAGGGTAGTCAGGGCAGAGTAGTCACCGAGGAAGTGATATTTGAGCAAAGAAGTGAAGGAATCAGGCTTAGGAATACTGGGGGGAGCGGTGATTCAGGCACAGGTAAAAGCCAGTATAAAAGGCCCTGATGCTGGAGTGTCTGATACGTTACAGGAAGTTCTGTGTGGTGGAATGGAATGAGTGAGGGGAAAAGGAGGAGATGAGAACAGAGAGGTAACAAAAGGTCAGATTAAGACTTTCTCAGGCATTGCAAGGATTCTGGCTTTTACTCTGAGTGGGAAAGGAGCCACACGAGGATTGAGAACAGAGAGGGGGTGACATGCTGTGAATTGGAGTTTAATAGGATCCCTCTTAATGTTGTGAGAACAGACTGTAGGGGCTTAAGAGGCTACTGCAATAGTCCAAGTGAGAGATGGTGGAATTGGTGAGAAGCAGCTGAATTCTGGTTAAAATCTCAAGCTAGAGCCAACAGGATTTGCTGACAGATAGGATGGAGGGGTGTGAAAGAGGAGTCAAGGATAGGTCTACGTTTTTGGCCTCATCATCTGGAAAGGATAGAGTTGTGATCAACTGAGATGGGGAGCACTGTGGGAGTAGGTTTTGGGGGAGATCAGGAGGTCAATTTTGGAGCCGGTCAGTTTCAGGTACTTGTTAATGCTGTGAATAATACTAATTTTAAAAATAGCAAGCAGTCACACAGCCCTTATTATATGCTGCACAAGGTTTTAATCATTTAACTCATTTAATCCTCAAACCAACACTACAGGGTGTTATTATTCTCCTCATTTTCCAGATGAGAAAATGGAGGCACAGAGAAGTAACTTCCTCAGGGTCACACAGCTGGAAGTTGGCAGAGTCGGGAATCAAACCCAAGCAGTTTGGCTCCAGTCAGCAATCCTAACCCCTTACAACACCAACTCAATATTAAGAAAAACATAGAAAGGTAAGAACCTAGAAGGTGACAGGAAACATAGAAGGATAAGAACTAGAAGGTGACAGGGATACTAGGGTGATCAGGGAGGGCTTCCCTGAGGAGGTGACATTTGCACAGAGACTGAAGGAGGGAGATAGTAAGCCAGGCCGATGTCTGCAGAAGAGTGCTCCGGGCAGAGGAAACAGCATGTATAAAGGCTCTGAGTTGGGCACAAGCTTGGGAAACATCATAGCCACCCTGAACTATCCAGTTCCCCTAATGCACGAGAAGGGTTCCCACCTCTGAGAATACGCATGTGCTGTTGTCCTTGCCAGGAGTGCCCTTTCCCATTCCAGACCCTTTATTACACAATCATTAAGTTCCGGTTCCTCCCCAGGCAAAATTAATTCTTCCTCTGCATGGTCCAATGTGCCAAATAACCTATTTGCCCTTGCAAATCTGCTTCTCTGAGTCTTCAGCTTAATATTCCTCTTTCCTGTTCTAGCTGTGTGACCTTGAGCAAGTTACTTAACCTCTCTGTGTTTGTTTCCTCATCTGTAAAATGGGGATATTTTAGTCACAAAGTAAAATATGCTAAAAAATACACCTACTCTCAAAGGCTTTCATGAGGATTATATATGTCAATTTATGTAAAGGACTTAGAAAGCTTCTCTGGCACATGGCAAGCACTCAACAAATGTTAGCTACTGGCTGGTATATCATCCATCCTTCCTCCTCCTAACCGCCCCCGCCCCTTTTATGTCACCTTCCAAGTGAGGCCTGCCCTGGCTACCCTAATATTCCAACCACCCAGTACCCCACTTCTACCATCCCTACTTCACTTTTTTTCCTTAGCACTTGTCTAATATACTAATTTTACTTGTTTATTTATTTAGTCTGTCTCCCCCACTAAGTGTCTGCTCCACAAGGTTAGGACTTTCTGCCTATTTTGTTTCACTTAGAAGAGTGCCTGGTATCAGTAGGTGCTCAGTAGTTTGTTGAATGATCAGTCCCAACTAACTTGCTCTTTTAACTAGCTCTCATATCTCCTCTTTATCTCCATCTGTCCCCCACCCTGATTTGTCTCAACTTTATTTTTTTCCATTCATTCATGCAACAAATTCTTATTAAGCACCTACTGCATACCAGGTAAGTATTCAGGTGCTAGAGACACTGCTGTGAATAAGCAGATAAACATTTTAAGCCCTCATGGTACTCCCATTCTAATGGGGATAGACAGACAATAAGCACAATAAACTGGTAAGTTATACAGTGTGCCAGAGTGATAAAGGGCAAAGGGACAAATAAAGCAGAAAAGAGGCTTGAGCCCTGCTGTGTGTGTAGTTCCAGGGAATCTGTTTTAAACAAGATAGTCAGGGAGGGCCTCATTGAGAGGTTGACATTTGAACGGAGGCCTGAATGGAGCCATGCAGTTATCTGGGGGTAGTAGGTTCCCAGCAGAGAAAAATAGCCAATGCAGAGGCCTGGTGTGTTTGAGGATCAGTGAAGAGGAGGCCAGTGTGGCTGAAGCAGGGTTAGTAAGCGGGTGGAGGTGTATGAGGTGAGCCCAGAGTGATAACTTGTTTTATTGTTACTAACTCGCAGGTACTCTTTATATATACTGGAGGGGGCTCTAGTTCTGATTCCCCCATGCTACAAATGAGAAACAGGTGCAGAAAGTGGCTATATCACTAATCTAAGGTCACACAGCTGCTGGGATTGGGGGTGGGTGGGTGCTGAGGCAAGGTGTAGAATGGAGACAGTTCTGCAGGCAGAGGAAACAGTGAGAACAAAAGTTTGGAGATGGGAACTAATTTGGTTTTTATGGAGTGGGCTCCGCAGAGTGGGATGAGGTGAGAGAGGGGAGCCTCAAAAAGTATCCTGTGCCCTGAGGGGCAGCCAAACCTGGTACTTACTGGACAACCTTTGAGTAAGGTGTTTAAGCTCACTATGCCTCAGTTTCCTTGACTGTGAAATGAAAATAATGATAATATTTATCTCATAGGGTTGTGGTGAGGATTAAATGAGTTCATTAATATAAAGCACTTAAAAAGCATGCCTGGTACATAATATGTGCTCAATAAATATTAGTTTCTGTTGGTATTATTACTGTCATCACTATCATTAATGTATTCATTTACTGTGGTAGGGCAGAATGTCTTGGTAGTTAAGAGTGTGTGAGGGGGTGTGATCTACAGTAAAAAAAGACCTGGGCTCAACAAATATACAGGATGCTCCACTATTAAAGGGGGGAGGGGGGGAAAAACCACAGAATGATCCACAGGAAAGGATGGGGGAAATAAAAGCACACAGGTTGAACCCTCTGGAAGAGCGGTTACAAAGCACTGAACTCATGGGAGAATATGTGGGGCAAGGGTGTGTGAATGCAAGCACACAGATAGCAGGAAGGCCACTGGACAAATCCACCACAAAGGAGAGAGGGAGATAAGACCACGGACTCCTCTACTAGGGGAAGGGGAGCAGAAAAGCTCATTAAGTGATGCCCTACAGTGGAGGGGGAGAAAAGCCATCACACAGACTGACTAAAAGGAGGGAGGGACAAGGCCATGGACTGGGATACTGGAAGTGGGGAGATGTAAAGTACTAGACTGACTTACTACTGAAACGAAGGGAGAAGCCCTCCAATTGACAGTCTACAAAAAAGGGAGGTGAGAGACGGCAGTGGACTGATGACTAGTGAGATGTGAATACAAGCATATAGACTAATCCACTATAAAATGAAGAAGGGGAATAAAGCCATGGGCCGATGGATTGGGGGATTGGAGGAGGCAGGAATACAAACTCACAGACTGACTCATTATTAAAGAGGGGTGGGGGGCACAACACTACTGACTGATTCACAAAGAACAGGTGGGGTGGAATAAACAAGGCCACAGACGGGTCCTCCAAAAGTTGAGGATAGCTGAAATACAAGCACTCAGATTCACCTACTATAAAAGGGGGTTGGACAATGCCACAGACTGGTCCCCTATAAGTGGGGGGGGGGCAGACCATGGACGAGTCCACTGTAAGCTGGGGTGGGGAGAAATACAAGCACGCAGACCGATCCGTTATAAAATAAGGGGGAGGGGTTAGGCCACGGTCAGATTCACTACAAGGGGCAAAGGGAGGGAACAATACTACTGGCAGGTCCATCAGCCGTGGTGGTGGTGGCGAGGAGTCGAACACCATCAGGCCACGGGCCAAGCCACATCCCCTGCGCGGGGGCGAGAAGGATACGTGGGGTCACGGAGGGTCCCCCAACCCTCCAGGCCCAGGGCTCACCTGTGCGCAGCACGGTGGCGGTGTTAGAGGTGTTGGCAGCTCCGGGGGGCGGGGGCTCCATGCACTGCCCCACCGCCCCCCAGGCCCGGGCTCCGAGGAGGCGGCGGCGGAAGCGGCGGTGGAAGCGGCGGCGGCGGCGGCGGAAGCGGCGGTGGGAGCGGCGGCGGCGGAAGCGGCGGTGGAAGCGGCGGCAGCAGCAGCACCTAGAAGCCGCCCCTGCGTTTCCCCACCGCTCACGTGGGTCCGTAGAGGCGGAGCTGAGCGCCCCGTGGCTAGCTGATTGGCCCAAGCAGCACCGATCGAACGCGCGTCGTGGGGGTGAGGGGGCGGGTCCTCCCTCGCAGAGCTATACTGTGATTGGTCCAAAGAGAAATGATGGACCACGGACAACCGCCCGGGTCCCGAGGGAATGTGCTCGGCCTGCGGTGCTCCTTGCTGATTGGCTCACGAAGGACTGCTAGACCGTGGGCAGTTGACAAAGTTCTGGGCGAGCTAGCCTCGCACTGATTGACCTAAATGGGATTGATGAAAGACAGACAGCTTCCGAGGATTGGGGGGGTGGGGGGGAGAGGGCGGGCCGTGCTTTATGTTGATTGGCGGATGAGGGACTCCTAGACAGCTGCCAAAACACCAAGGGGGTGGTGCTGCACTCCACGCTGCTAAGCGGAAGCAGGACTTGTATAGAAGTGGGAGTAGAGGCTGACCGGGAGGGGGTCGGGCCCTAGCTCTGCGTGGGCGGGCGGGGTAACTATGATGATTGGTTAGAAAAGACCAATTTAGCACGGGGCAGAGGCAGGAGGGAGGGAGAGATGCTAGACTCGCGAAGCAGCGCTGAGTGGCAGAAACTAAAGGCCTATGATGCAGCCAGTTATGAAGGGGCGGAACCTGGCACTGCGTTGATTGGCAGAAGCCCGACTCAACCTAAAATAGGGGCTGGACACGGGGGTAGGAGGGCTAGGTCCGGCTCCGCGCCTATTGGCGGAAGCTGGAACCATTTAGAAGCAGGGGCGAGGCCAAGGTTGGGCCGAATGGGGCGTGGGTGTAATTAGGGTACCAGAGAAACATTCGGGGCGTGGGAGGATAAATCTTAGGGCCAGGAATGGAAGGCTGATTGCCCACGGATCAGCCTGGGCAAATTTCCACCATGAACTGGCCCATTCTTTATGACAACCGTAAGGATGATGTACAGGAAAAGGACTGGGTGAAGTGGGGGGCTAGGTTGCCAAGACGACAGAAGAGCGGGTAGAACATAAAGGCAAGTGGCAAATGCTGCCAGGCAACAGGCTGGAGGAGGGATTTCCGGGTGTTTTAGAAGAGTCTGGAGCTCTGGGCCTCCTAGTAACTGTGTGCTCTATAAACAGGGCACCTCGGCAACCAGCAGGGGTTAAAGGGAAAAAGAAAGGCCACAGGAGTCAAAGGCATTCAGGCTCTTTAATGTTGGAGGAAAGCAGGAAGTCAGTGACGAGACTTCTATGGGAGACTGTGTAGGCCTTGTAGCTCTCTAAGCCCCTGAAAAAGAGGACAGAAGAGTTTAAACAGAGACTGGGTCTAGGTCCCACCCTAGGCTTGCTCTGACCTCCCCTCCCTCACAGTAGGCCTGGCTCAAGTTTGGCAGGAAAGATAGTCCTTCCCTTCTCTGGCTCTCTTCCTCCATTTGCCACCCTAAACACATTTAGAGATAGAATCTGGGAATGGGGTAAGCTGCTCTCACCTCTAGCAACATATGAATATGGGCCTTGATATTCATGGAGTCCTTGGTAAGGCTGTCGCTGAGCCTGGAGAAGAGAAACAAGAAAGGGCAAGGTGGGCCCCACATATGATTATGACAATGACCATTTCTCATCACTTCATGAACAATCTACATTCTGGATGACTTCCACAGATGACTTCTCCTCTGCAGAGATGCCTGGCTATCATCTGGACCTCATTAATTAAAAAACATTTATTGAATCCCTACTGTATGCCAGGCAGTTATAGGCACTGGGAAGACAGCAGTGAACACAACAAAAATCCCAGCCTGGTAGAGCTCACCTTCTTAAGAGAAACAAATAAATGACGGAATAAAATATACTTTATGTCAGATGGTTATAAGTGCAATGAAAAAATTGAACAATGAGGGAAGATAGAGTGCAGAAGTAGGGGCTAAAATTTTATAGACTGCTCAAGGATGGCTTCATTGAGAAGCATTTGAGAAAAGACTTAAAGGAAGTGAAGAAGCAAATCATGTGGATATATGGAGGATGAGTATTCCAGACAGAAGGGCCAGCAAATGCAAAGGTGCTGAGGTGGGAGCGCGCCTGACATGTCTGAGGCACAACAGAGGCTGGTGGGGCTGAGGAGAATAAGTGAAGGGGGATGGCAGTAAGAGGTAAGATCAGAAAGGTAAAGGGGGCGGGATTGGGTAGAGCCTACAAAGCCATGGTAAGGTTTTGAGCTGAGAAGGGACGTGAACTGACTTGGGTTTAAAGAGGACCCATCTGGTTATTGTGGCACAGTGGTTATGTGCTATGGCTGCTAACCAAAAGGTCAGCAGTTCGAATCTACCAGCCACTCCTTGAAAATGCTATGGGGCAGTTCTACTCTGTCCTATAGGGTCGCTATGAGTAGGAATCAACAGCAACGGGTTATCTAGTTATTAAGTGAAAAATTTAACTGACGATAAGGAGATCTAATGTGGAAGCAAGAAGTCCAGCCAGGAGGCTATTGTAATAGCCCAGGTGAGAGATGACGGAGTCTCAGGCCACACTTGAGGTGATGAGGAATTATTGAGATGTGGGATTTTGAAGGTAGAGCCAATGGGATTTCCCAAAGGGTTAGATGTCGGGTGTGACAGAGAGGAGTCAAGGATGACACCAAGGCCTAAGCAACTGGTAAGCTGGAGTTGCCACCTACTGAAAAGGGGAAGAAGTGGGTAGAAGGAAGATCAGAATTTGTTTGGACATATTAAATTTGAGATGCCAATTAAAGATCTTAAACTGATGATTAACGAAAACATTATCCTGAAAAACTGTTCTACTTCCAAAAGAATGAATTCAACAGCCTGACTTCCAACACCACTCATCGTGGCAGCCAGTTCAAAGGAGCTACCTAGGCAACTTATTCTGGCAACTCCTAGATACCTCTGTTCTTCCACTTCCTGATTAGCCTTCCAAACCCTCCTGCTAGCATTTCTGTCTTCAGTTTAGAGTCCATGCTTATCGTATTATCACAACCTTGGCAATACTGTTAGTTCACATTCCTCTCTGTCCTTTCACAGCCCTCCGGTACTGCATGAACTTAACTATTCACCACCTACATGCCAGTAGCAGGGTCAGCAGAACGCTATGTACACCACTTTAGTACTGTTTCTAGAAGCGTGGTTCAAGAAACATTAAAAGCAGAATCACCTGGGAGCTTGTGAAAATGTACTCCCACTCCCACAGGTCCAAAAGTTTGAGAACCATGCATCCTAAATTCACCAGCCTCCGTGGGGGCCTCACTGCTCCATGTAATTTCTTTCTTTCTCTGGCTAAGTTGCTTGACACACTATTTCAGACCCTTTAGATCACCAAAACACACTGAGTTCCTAGTGTGTCAGGCATAGTTGCTGAAGGAAAGAAAACTACATGTGGATATACAGGAGCGAACAGAGAAAGCTTCTGTCCTTGTAAGACTTTACAGTCCCCTGGGAGAAAGAGAAGTTAAGCAACTAAACAAATGTCATTAAGTGCTATGATCGAAGAGTGCTGGGTCCTTTGAGAGAGAAAAACAACAGGGACCTAACATATATTGTGGTAGGAAAAAAGAATAGAAACAGTCCTGATCAAATCATTTGAGCCCTGAATCAAGCAGTGCCTAAAAACACTCTGGCCCTAGACAGTTGCGTAACATAAACCAGTACATTTTGCCAGTTTGGATCAGATTTCACCCCCAAAAAGTCTAATTGATACAAAAAGTCAACAAAAGTCTTTCTGAAAAATGAAGAATGGGTAAGAACTGAAGAATGAGTAAGAGGTAAGCAGTGGGAGGGTCTTTTCCACAAAAAGGCCAAAAGTCAGGAAAGAGCTATCTGAGGCGCAGTCAGCAGGCCAGAGTGTTAGGAATTAAGGGAAAAGTGGAAGGAAAAAGGTCCAAGAGGTAAGGAGACAGTGGTCACCAAGGGCCTTGATATCATGATAAGGAATGTAGATTTTATTGCGCTATTTGTCAAGGTAGGAGTCAGTGTTAGGGGTAAATGAAACTGAACACTATAAGACAGCAATAACATAGGATGTTAAACTGGAAAAAATAATATGAACTTACCTATATGCCAGTGTCTCCCAAATTTATATTTCTAGCCCAGACTTCTCGTGAACTCCAGACTTGGGAGTTTTAACTCATCTTCAAAAAATCCACTTTAATGTTTAATAAGCACCTCATACTTAACATGTCCCAAACTGAACTCCTGATCTTCCTCCCCAAATCTGCTCCTCCTCTATCTTCTCTATCTCAGACAATGGCAACTCCATCCTTCCAGTTGCTCAGGCCAAAAACCTCGACTCCTTCCTTTCTCTCCCACCCTACATTCAATCTACTATTTAAAATCACAACTGCTCCATCCCAGGCAATACTTCCTACAGCCAATCCATGCTCTTTCTCCACTGCATTGTCAACATCTAATATACTACATTATTTGTTTATTGTCTATCTCCCTTGACGAGAATGTAAGCTACATGAGGACAGGGATTTTGGTCTGTTTTATTCCCTGCTGTATCCCCAGGAACTAGTATGGTGTGTGGTATGTAGTAGGCACCCAATATATGTTGCGTTAAGTGAATGGTTAATCCATCAAAAGAACCTGAAGTCCTCAAAAGATGGCTGAGTCTATGTTTAGACTCAGAAAATAAATGGAGCATGATGATGTTGTCAACGAGCAAGAATACTTTGAAGACTATCTGGAGTAGTGCTTAAAGAACAGAGGAATGAACTTGATCAGCTCCCAAGGGACAATTTGACCATCAAAAAAGAGATCAAAACTAGTTAATTGGTACAAGCTGAATCTATGAAAGACTATGAGTTCATAACGACACTTAAAAGGAGAAAAAAATTAATATAAAGTTCACCAAATGCTAGCTGTAAGACAAAAGGGATATGTTTAATTACTATTGAATTACTATGTAAGGCAGTGTTAATAGCCATATGGGTATTATTTCTTCTATTAATTACGTGTCTGTTTATGAGGTGTGGATATGCCCTCACTTCTTTCTGTGTAATTAGGAAAGAATACACAGAGCTCTGATGCCCTCCACGCCCATACAAAAAAATATACAAGAACAGGAAAGCCTGATAGGCAATTTTGGTTATACAAAATAATCAGAAAGAAAGTTGGTTCAAAGTACGTCCCAAGATGACAAATTAACCAAGTATTTTCAAGAGGAGAGCCAGCTACACAGACTCGAATACTCATCTCTTAGAAAGATTAAGCTCCTAGGTAGTCCTACTAATTCTAACACAGTAATCAGAGATTCAGTCACATTTTTAATCATCTAACAGACAAGGTCAAGATAGAAAAAAGGCCAGGAAAGGGATCAGGTAATGACAACTTAAAATACTTCAATTTTGGGAAAGACATTAAGTCTCAAAAAATTAAAATTCTATTTGAAAGGCTCAGGAATCCTCTAACAAGGAAAGCTTTGTTATAATAAAAAAACTGGACCGCCAATTCAGAATTGTGTTGGCCCATGAAAGCAGGCCCCTTGACCAAACTATTCAACAACTGGTCTGATTATCGAGATTTAGAAATGTCAATGAGTCTCAGGTTCTTTTGGGTCTAAGACTGAAACCTGGAAAGGTTTGAAAAGAAAAAAATTACTGTAACCTTAAGGCAGCAACTCTGGAAGAAATGAAAGTAGGAGTAAAGATAAATATAACCAAGAAGAAACTTTAGATCATTTGTGAAACGTTAGCCTAAGTGTACCGGTCAGTGTCCCCTTAACTACTCCATCCCAGGCATGCCAGCCTCTCTTGGCAGTTTCCTTCCAGGTACACTGTTTCCCTTGCCAGGAATGCTCTTCCCCAGGTAGCCCCATGGCTTGTTCATTCAACCAAGTGACTCGAATGTCACTTCTTCTGGGAGGCCTTCCCTAGTTATATTTCAAACCCCTCATCCACACTTTCAATCCCCCTTCCCTGCTTCACGTCCTCCTTAGCACTTACCACCACCTGACATACTTAAGCTTTACTTATCTTGTTAACTGTCTGTTTCCTCCACTAGAACATAGGCTCCATGAGAAAAGGGATTTTTGTTTTGTTCAGAGGTATCTCTAGGATCTAGAACACTCAAGTATTTAAATAAATGAATTAGTATTATGATCACTGAATGTTGTTTGCTTTTTAAGGTGTTTAAAACAGTTGAATTAATTGGATACTAGACAAGATTTTCATTAAATATTTAGCAGTATTTGAGTTAATTAAACCACTAAAAGTTAATTGGGGACACTGTACCTTTTTCAATGTTTTATTTTTTGTGTATAAGTATGCTACTATGCAGTAGGAGACTGAATGTTTAATAAATCCCTAAGATTGATAAGTAACACAACAAAATAGAAATACTGCTAAATATTTCTTTCCATGCACAGTGGACCTTCAGACATTAAAAAAATTAATCAATTCACTCAAGAGCAAACTCTGAAGCTAGACTGCCTGGGTTCAAATCCTACCTCCATCTGTAACCTTTCTGGGCCTCAGTTTCCTCATCTATAAAATGCGAAAATAGTATCCCATTCATAGGGTGGTTGTGAGGATTAAACGAGTGAAAATATGTTTAGTGCTTAGAACAGTGCCTGGCACATGGAAGGTGCTATGTAAGTGTTTGTTATCTTTATCACTATTACTGAACCGTTTTCAACATCATTACAAATATATAGAAATTTCTCCCATTTTAAAAAACAAACACTTCTCTTCCCCATTTCTCCTGCTACATAGCTGTCATTTAATTCATATCTAAACTTCTGAGGGAAAAAAAGGTTGTCTATACTCCAAAATCTGGTTTTTATATCCATCAAAACAGTTCTCACCTCTGGAAACTGAATTAGATTAACAGAAACTTAAGAGACCTATCAGCCAAATGCAATGTACGGATCCTGATTTGAACAAAGCAACTAAAAAGGATTTTTAAAACTTTTTTTAATTTGAAAATTTTCATTCCTACAGAAAAGATAAAAAGAATAGTACAATGAACATCTGTAAACCCTTCACCCAGATTCATGGATTGTTAACATTTTGCCACATCTGCCTTTTCTCTTCTCTTTCTCTACACATACATGTACTTTTCTGCTGGACCATTTGAAAGTTGCAGGCATTATGACACTTTACCATTGTAAAAATGGTGTAGTGGGGGAGGCGTTGCTTGACCTCTTCTAACATTACAAGGCGAAAGGAGAATCATCAGCATCAACCACCAAGGTTGATTCCTATGAAGCAGAGGTCAGACAAATCTCCTCTCACCAACCTTTTTACCAATTCTGACACCAACCATCCCTCCCATAGTACTACTTCTCTGCTGGCTTTGATAATTCATTGCAATGGCCACACAAAACTCAGAGACAATACTCACGATTATGGGGTTTATTAGGGAAGTAACAGGATACAACTCAGAATAAATTTAGAAGTAACAGAAACAACTCAGAATACAATTCTTAATCAGGACAGCTTTTTCTCACCCTATGTCTCTAGGCCCTGCTCAGGGACTAGCCCTTCGCAGGGACTTCTCGGGCAAGTGTTACAACTCTTAGCTTCATGGGTCTGTGAGTCTAGCTCTGCCGAGTGCCCAGAGGCACCCTACTCTGCCAGCAAGCCTCCTGCCCGAAGGCTCTCCACTTTCTCACTCTGTGGGCTAGGAAGCCCATCACTCTGTCTCCTGCTGGTGTCTTGGTTCTGCTGCTTCTGCTGCTACTGTTTCTCTGCTTCTGCTTCTCACCGTTGTCTCTCTCTGTCTCCTGGGTCTAGAAGGTTCCCAGCACAGGGACCCTGGGTCCAAAGGACACGCTCTGCTCCAATCTCTTCTTCTTGGTGGTATTGAGTTCCCCCTGTCCACCTCTGGGATGGCTCATATTAAGCCTAGTGGGATGGCAAAACTGACCAATCCTCTCATTAGGGTACCATATACCTTATTTTCATGGTCCCATCCCCACAAGGGTGCCATGAACCTTATCTGTGTTATTAGCGAGCTGTCCAATCCCATTGGTGGGCCTCTTTTGCATAGTCCCACCTAGTCATTTGGTGGGAGTTACAAAGACCATGGCTAGAAGGGTCATTATTAAATAATTCACTGCTCTGCAATCATACATGCACTTACCACTTTATTCCTGCATACACTTTCTAAGTATAAGGCCATCTGCTCCTACCTGAGCAAAATGCCAATAGCACACCCAAGAAATTCAAGTTGAATTCAATAACGTAATCTAACATACAGACCATGTTCAAATTTCCTCAAGATGTCTCTTATAGCCTTTTTTTTCCTTCCCTAGATTCAGGACCCAGCCAGGTTCATACTCTGAATTGTAAAATAAGACAATTAGTGAAATTTGACCACAGCCTGGATATTAGATGGTATTAAGGCATTTTGTTGGTTGTGATTAATAGTATAACCCATAAACCAAACCTATTGCCGTTGAGTCGATTCTGACTCATAGTGACCCTACAGGAGAGAGCAGAACTGCTCCATGGGTTTCCAAGGAGTGGCTGGTAGATCTGAACTGCAGACCTTTTGGTTAGCAGCCGTAGCTCTTAACCACTATGCCACTAGGGTTTCCGATAATAGTATAGTGGTTGTTAAAAAAAAAAAAAAGCTGTGTCTGTTTTAGATGCATGCTGAAATACTTATAGGTAAAATAATAAGATGTCTGGGATTTGCTTCAAAATATTCCATCAAAGAGAAAAATTCTTTTTGGATGAAATAAGAATGGCAGAATGGTGATTATTGTTGAATGTGAACTCTTACCATGTGCCAGGCATTGTACCAAGCACTTTATTTGCATTAACTCACTAATTCTTATGACAGCCCTATAACATGGGCTCTGTTATTATGCCTACTCTCCAGATGAGAAAACAGACACACAGAAGCTAAGTCACTTACCCAAGACCACACAGCTGGTCCCCTTCTTTTTTGGCTTCTCAAGAGGTTTAAATACTGTTGACCCCTTTTTTTGCTCTGCAGCAACTTTTTGAGTCTTTTTTCTGACTTTCACATTTAAGAGAAACCCAGGTCTTGTTCCTTGGCTCTTGTCCCTTGCTACACTCTCTTCAGAGGCAATTTCATCTACTCCTTAGGGTTTAAACCCCATCTGCACTCCCAAATATCCATCTCAGTCCAAGCTTTGCATCTCACCACCAACCCCATTTATCCAATTGTCCCATGATGTCTCCACTTTGATGCCACACAAAACAAACTCAACTAGAGCCGACACTTTCTCCTCATATCACCTCACCATCACCACTAACATAAAATACCACTTCATTCTGTTTCCAGCATACCATTTTTAATTCACTCAACAAACACTGAGTGCCTGTTATATGCTATACACTATTCTAGACACTTGGGGTGAATAAAATTTCTCCCATTGTAAAGCTTATACATTCATAGGAAGAGACATGAACACTGAAACAAGTAAATTACACAGTGATTATTAGGAGGTGATAAGTGCTAGGGGGAAAAAAAGAATAAGGGAGAGGAATCAGGAGTGCTAGGGTTGCAATTTTAAAGTCAGGTTAAGGAAGTCCTCGTTGAGGAAGTAACCTGTAAACAAGACATTTGAGTGAGGAGAAAGCCACGTGGCTACCTAGGGAAAGAGCACTGCAGGTAGAGAGAACAGCCAGTGCAATTGCCCTGAGGTGGGATCATTCCTGGGGTGTTTAAAAAAGAGTGTGAAGGTCAGTGTGATGAGGGTGCAGTGAATGCGCAGGAGAATTAGCAGGAGGTAAAGTCAGAGGTAACTTGTTTTACTTTTATTGATTTACAAGCTAATGAGACCTCACAGATCTGGTCATAACTGTATTTATGTATCACAGTATAATTAGTATCTGTCTCATCCCCTAGAACGTAGGCCTTCAAGGAACCCTTCTCTCTTGTTCACTGCTGCAGCCCCATCACCAAACACAGAACCTGGCATATAGCGGATGCCCAGTAAGTGTCTGACGAATGATAAAAAGACTACTTATTGAGCGCTTATTATGTGCTATGCCTAGGGTTAAGCTTTCCATCCCCACATTTCTCAGTTCCAGCCCTGAGAAGGAGGGGAGATGGGTCCCTAAGTGTCATCCTAGGCAGCCATGGGGAGAAGGGAGAAGGGTATTGGTGATTTAGACACAATCCTCACGGAAGGGACTTACTCTGTGAGGAGACAGCTCTTGCGATCAATAAACTTGAGAGCTTCTGCCAGTGTCAGCTCCAGGAAAAAACCGTATCCAAGGGCCACGTAGATCCGTGAAGTATCTGGGCTGAAGAAAAGAGCAGTTAGAGGAAGCAGGGGGAAGTCCTTATCACCATGTAGCATACCATACAGTTTATTTAAGATGTTTTCTGACCCCCCCCACCATCTTCCCCAATTTGAGGATCTAGGAGGGCAGGGATTTTGTTCTATTTTATTCACTGTCACATCCCTAGCACCTAGCCGTGTCTGCTACATAGCAGATGCTCTCAAAACATTTGTTGAATGAAGGAAGGGGGATGCTGAACCCTGTGGACTCAGAGGGGCAGGAAGACACTCACACCACTGTGTCAACGAAGAAGTTACAGCCCAAATCCACCTGCATATATAACTCTGAGTGCTTAGTTTCCTGTGGGGCCAGGGAAAAAGAGGTAGGGGTCAGAGTTCAGATTTTAGGTCAGGTTACAGGTTTTGGTCTGGGGTTTCTCCTCCTGTCTTCCTCCCTTGCCCACAAAAGGGTACCCAACCTTGGCATCTTTACCTGGAGTCGCTCAATGACGTTTCTTAGTTGAAGGTATGTGGCCAGCTGCTCATATACCTTGTCGCGATGGTCCAGCACCTTTCTGATGGATGAGAGTCCAATGGTGACCAATAGGCAACCCTGTCCCTCTTGGGAGACCTCATATCTTAACTCTGTGAGACCCTCATGTCACCATGCCCTGAAAAAGCCTTTTAGTGCAGAAGTTAAGATTTTGGACTCTGCAGTCAGACTACTGGGTCTGAATCCAGGCTCTCTCCTTTACTAGCTATGTGAACTTGGCAAGTAACTAACTTCTTTGGGACTCAGTTTCCCCATCTATAAAATAAGGATAATTATAGTATTACCTCATAGAGTCGTTAGAACTGTTACATAAAGTGCTTGGAAACTACCTGCCAAACTGTAAGTTCTATACATGTGTTAACTATTATTTACTACTATTAATATTATTGTAAATCACTCTCAACGCCTCTGTCCAATCAGAATGTCCCATTCTCACTCTGGAAAAATCCTCTTTCCCTTTTAGGATGCTCAAAGTCCTAGTTGTGAACACCCTACATCCCACTCATATTAGTAGTGACAGTAATTCTTCATACTCATTGAGTCTCTAGTATGTTTCAGACATCCACGCTGAATTCTTTACAAGTATTGAACACATTGAAAACTCAAAACCACGGGATTAGGTAGGCTCCATCAACTTCCCCCATTTCAGAGATGAGGAAAAATGAAGCAGAGAGAGAAGAGGTGATGAAGCATGTGTTCACAAAGATGACAAGTGGCCGAGCCAGGATTCGAATCTAAGAACTCCGGCTCTAGAAACCTAGATTTTAACCCCTACGGAATGTCGCGGCTGCGCATGCGCACACACGCCTCCACGCTGAACGCCTCGTCCTACTCACATTGCCGGATGTCGCGCCTCCTTCCCGCTCGAAAGGGGCGCTGGGCCGGGCCCTGAACGCCCCACCCGCCAATCAGAAAGTTCCGCGCTGACACCAAACGTTCCGCCCACCACGTGGAAGGGTACAAACACCTCCCCGCCCCCGCCCTCCCCCGCCCACCCGCGCTATCTCTTACTGCAGGTCTCGCTGAAGCACGTCACTGATGAAGGCCTCATAGCGCAGCACTTTCTCACTCGTGGCCTCTAGCGCCCGCCGTTTAGGGGGCGTCGCCATGATTAGCTCCTGAGGAGTGCGGAGAGGGAAGGCCATTTTGATCACTCCAGTTTGGCCTGTCGCGCAGTATATCTCCACCCTCCCAACGTTGGGAATGGGCTCGTCTGACCCATGCTGGGAGTTCCACCTCCTGTCCCTCCCAACTCTGGGACCCCCGCCACATAGAGACACTCAAACGCGGCCCCTACCTTAGAGCCGCCAGGAATAAGAACGGAGAGTTAGTATAAACCGCAGCTTCCGGGTGGCGCTGATAAATGACGTAGTGGCAAGCAGGCTGGCCAATCAAATAGCCAGGTGGGGAGAGGCGGTCCTGAACGGAAAACGACCAGCCGAAGGCGCGAAGAGAACGGCGGGGCTATACGGATTCTGAGGCGACCTGGAAGACTGCAGAGCGACTGTATGGCAATAAACAAGCCAATGGGGACTGCAAAAGCTACGTGAAGCCTATGCACGCGTGGCTGGTGGGGAGCCTAATAGGATTTGGCGGGTTCTGGGGGATGCCGGACGCACAAGCAGAATTAGAGAACTGGAGTCAAGTGTTACTAGTTTAAAAGGGCCACCGAAGCAGACGGGCAAGAATTAATTTTGGTTCTGGCTTGCCGAAAAGAGGGTCCATCCTGTTTGATCCTAGATTCTGATTTTTTCACCCGGGAGATTTGGGTTTGACTCTCGGTAACGGGAATGAGTGTGAACATTGAGAGATTTTTAAACAGAGACATATCTAAAATTCATCTTTTATGACTCCAGCTCTGAGGTCTGCAATCCATAACTAGGGGTTTAAAGCGAAGATTGACAAAGCGTTGTCTACTCGCCTCATTTAATAGGGAGATCAAATGGAGAGTCGCTGGAGTCCTCCGGCTGTCTTGTGGTTAGAAATAATTTCCCATGTGTTTTATTTAAATGTGTAAGCTTTTTATTAGTTTATTTTTACGCTCTCAAGTGAGGGACTGAATTTATTTCCCATGTAAGATTTTTAAACGGAGGCATCTAACCCAGCGAAGTCCAGGCCTGATCTGGTTCTGGAGGAGAACCCATAGGCCGGAATCCCCCAAATGCCATTCTCATTTGCAGGGGCTCAAGCTCCCACCCTTATTAGGGAAAGCTTTCCAGAAAATTTGTGTGTTGTGTATGTAAAAGCAAGGTTCGTTTTTCAAATGCTCAAAACCTAAGCAAATCTAGTTTTTCTTTGCTCATTGAACAAGTCTATTGTACAGGAAATATGAGATTAAAAAAATTTTTTTGTAAATCTTCTCATGTTAAATATAATTAAAATTACATTTCATGTGATTGAAACACACTAGGTAGTTAGAAACATTACACCACTGTCTTATGAAAGGAGCCCTCGTGGCGTAGTGGTTAAGAGCTTGGCTGCTAACTAAAAGGCTGGCAGTTTGAATCCACCAGCCGCTCCTTGGAAACCCTGTGGGGCAGTTCTACTCTGTCCTATAGGGTTGCTGTGAGTTGGTATGGACTTACCCGCCAACGGGTTTGGTTTTGGTCTTATGAAAAGGTGTTAAATTTACTATCTTTATTCAACAGGGAGAACACTGATGGAGTTCTAATGGGCTGGAGGTGGGTCTGTGCAAGTTTAACTTACATTTCACAGATACAAAACTTATTTTTTTATTTTTTATTATTGTACTTTAGATGAAGGTTTACAGAACAAACTAGCTTCTCATTAAACAGTACACATATTGTTTCGTGACATTGGTTACCAACCCCACGACATGCCAATACTCTCCGTTCTTGACCTTGGGTTCCCCATTAGCAGCTTTCCTGTCCCCTCCTGCCTTCTAGCCCTTGCCCCTGGGCTGGTGTGCCCATTTAGTCTGGTTATGTTTTATGGGTCTGTCTAATCTTTGGCTGAAGGGTGAACCTCAGGAGTGACTTCAGTACTGAGCTAAAAGGGTGTCCGGGAGCCATCCTTGCATCTAAAGAGCATTCTGGTTGTACTTCTTCCAAGACAGATTTGTTCATTAAATAAGCACACACAAAAAAATGACAAGACTTACTGGTCTGACAGAGACTGGAGAAACCTCAAGAGTATATTGTACATAGGGTTGCTATTAGCTGAAACCAACTCAATGGCACCTAACAACAACAACAACATTTAACCTCTGTATATTCTCTTTGGTGAAATGTCTCTCCATGTGTCCTTTGCTCATTTGTATATGTTATATAAATGGAATTATACAGTGCATACCTTTTGGGATTGAGTTTTTTCACTCAGCATAATTCCTTGGAGATTCATCCAAGTTGTTGCATGTACCAATAATTCGTTCCTCTTTATTGCTGAATAGTAGTCCATGGTATGTATGAACCACTGTTTGTTTAACGGTTTGTTTAACCTGTTGAAGGATATCTAGGCTGATTCCGCTCACTTCTGAGTTATAAAAAGAGCAGAAGAGACACGGAGACACACATGAGGGAAGACACTGTATGAAGACAGACACACATGGCAGATGCATCTACCAGCCCAGGAACTTAAAGGATTGCTGGCTACTAGGAGCTGAAATAGAAAAAGAAGGACCTCACCGTAGAACCAGCCATGCCCTAAATTTGGACTTTCAGCCTCCTAAACTGTGAGAAAATAAATTTCTGTTATCTAAAGCAATCCACTTGTAGTATTTTTTGTTACGGCAGCACTAGATAACTAAGACAGAAACTGTTACCTAATCCAAGATCACGAAGATTTATATCTATGTTTTTTTGTAAGAGTTTTATAGTTTTAGCTTTCACATTAAGGCATTTGAATCATTTTGAGTTCATTTTTGTGCATGGTGTGATGTAAGAAGGAGCCCTGGTGGTGCAATGGTTAAGTGCTTGATTGCTAACCAAAAAGTCAGTGGTTTGAATCCACCAGCTCGCTCTGTGGGAGAAAGATGTGGCAGTCTTGGAAATCCTATGAGGCAGTTCTACTCTGTCCTATAGGGTTGTTATGAGTCAGAATTGACTTGACGGCAAGGGGTTTGGTTTTCTTAGTTTGGTGAGGTAGGAATCCAAATTAATTCTTTTTTTGTGGCTAGGCAGTTGTCCCAGCACCTGTTGTGGAAAAGATAATATTTTCCTCCATTGAGGAATTGTCTTGGCACCCTTGTCAAAAATCAGTTGACCATAAATGTGAGGGTTTATTTCTAGACTCTTAATTTTATTCCATTGATCTATATGTCTATCCTTATGCCAATACTAGTCTTGATAAGTGTGACTTTGTAGTAAGTTTTGAAATTGGGAGTGTGAATCCTCCAACTATCTTCTTTTTAAACTTGTTTTGGCTCTTCTAGTTCCTTTGCCTTTCATGTAAATTTTACAGTAATCTTGTTTATGTTTACACAAAATCTTGCTGGGATTTTGATAGAACTTGTGTTAAACCTATAGATCAATTTAAGGGAGAATTTAATTTACTATGTTAAGTCTTCTGATCTGTGAACACTGTATGTCTCTCCATTTATTTAAATCTTCTTTGATTTCTTTCACAAGAGTTGTTTTCAGCATACAAGTCCTGTACATGTTTTGTTTGATTTATACCTAAGCATTTCATTTTTTGAGACTGCAAATGGTATTATATTTTTAATTTCAATTTCAACATGTTCGTTGCTAGTATATAGAAATACAGTTGATTTTTAAAGGTGATCTTGTATCTTGTGACTTTGCTGAACTCGCTTATTAGTTTTAGGAGTTTTTTTGGTAGATCCCTTGGAATTTCCTACATAGACCATAATATCATCTGCAAATAGAGACAGTTTTATTTTTTCCTTTCCTCTTTATTTCCTTCTCTTGCCTTACTGCACTGGCAAGAGAAGCAAATACTATATTGAATAAGAATGGTGAGCGCACACATCCTTGTTTTGTTCCTGATCTTAGGGAGAAACTATTCTGTCTTTTGCCATTACGTATGATATTACCATAGGTTTTTTTTTTTTTACAGATTTTTAAAAACCATTTTATTTTTTTAAATTTTTTAAATTGTACTTTAGATGAAGGTTACAGAGCAAACTAACTTCTCATTAAACAGTTAATATACGTATTGTTTTATGACATTGGTTGCCAACCCCACGACATGTCAACACTCTCCCCTTCTCGACCTTAGGTTACCCATTACTAGCTTTCCTGCCTTCTCATCCTTGCCCCTGGGCTGGTGTGCCCATTTAGTCTCATTTTGTTTTATGGGCCTGTCTAATCTTTGGCTGAAGGGTGACCCTCAGGAACAGATTTTTTTTTCAAGTTGAGACAATATTCTATTCCTAGTTTTCTGAGATCTTTTGTCATGAATGGGTGTTGATTTTTTAAAATGCTTATTTCTACAGCAATTGACTAGATTCTATTATTTTTCTTGTTTAACCTGTCAATATGGTAGTTTATAGTGATAGATTTTCTAATATTGAGCCAGCCTTGCATCCTTTGAATAAACCTCACCCCATTATGGTATATAATTCTTTTAATATATTGCTAAATTCTATTTGCTATCATTTTGTTAAAAATTATTGCATCTACATCAATTGGTCCCGACCACCTGGAGTAAAGGAGAATGAAGAACACCAAAGACACAAGGAAAGTATTAGCCCAAGAAACAGAAAGAGCCACATAAACCAGAGACTTCATCAGCCTGAGACCAGAAGAACTAGATGGTGCCCGGCTACCACCAATGACCACCCTGACAGGGAACACAACAGAGAGTCCCTGATGGAGCAGCAGAAAGATGGGGTGCAGAACTCAAATTCTAGTAAGAAGACCAGACTTAATGGTCTGACTCAGACTGGAGGTACCCTGGAAAGCACGGCCCCTGGATTTTCTATTAGCCCAGAACTAAAACAATTTCTGAGGCCAACTCTTCAGACAGGGTTTGGACTAAACTGTGGGACATAAAGTGATACTCGTGAAAAGTGTGCCTCTTAGTCAAGCAGATACAAGAGACCAAAGGGGCAGCTTCTGTCCAGAGGTGAGATGGGAAGGCAGAGAGGGTTAGGAGCTGGTTGAATGGACATGGGGAATCAGGGGCGGAAAGGAGGAGAGTACTGTTACAGAATGGGGGGAGCAATTAGGGTCACATAACTATGTATAAAATTTTGTATGGAGACTAACTTGAAATGTAAAGTTCATTTAAACTACAACAATAAAAAAATTTTTGCATCTATATTCATGAGGGATATTAGACTGTAGCATTGTCTTCTTTTTGTACTATCTTTTTTCTGATTTTGGTATTAGGGTGTCAGGCTGGGTTCTCTAGAAGAGCAAAACCAGTGAAATATATATATATAAATATATATAGAGAGATTTATTTCAAGGAAATGGCTCACGCAGTTGTGGAGGCTGGCAAGTCCCAAATCTGTGGGTCAGGCATCAGGCTGGAGGCATCTCCTGACTCACACGGTTGCAGGGGCTAAGGAACCCAAAGTTGGCAGGTCAGAGGCAGACTGCTGGCTCACAGGGCTGTGGGAGCTGGTGAATCTCAAAACTGGCAGGTTAGGCTGCAGGCTGCTGGCTCACATCCCAAGAACTGGAGGTCAGAGGATGATGAGTCAGATGTAGGATCAAGAGAGAGGGAGCTTTCCCAGAACATCCATATATATTGGATACAGGCCACATCCCCAAGGAAACTCCCCTTTCAACTGATTGTCTGCTCATGTCAGATCACAAAATGGAGGATGATTACATAATATCTGCCAAACCACTGACAATCATGGCCTGGCCAATCACGTAGGGTAATACTGATCTCATAGAAGGAGTTGGAAAAGTTTGTTCCTTTTCTATTTTCTGGAAGATATTGTGTAAAATTGCTGTTAATTCTTTAAACATTTGGTAGAATTCTCAAGTGAAACTATCTGGGACTGGATATTTCTTTCGGGGGAGTTTTTAAATTATGAATTCAGTTTTTCAACAGTTACAGGGCTATTCAAATTATTTCACATTGGGTGAGTTATGGTAGTTGTACTTTTTGAGGAATTGGTTCATTGACTCTATGTTGTCAAATTTATGCCTGCTTGGCTTTATCAAATGGTTTTAAAAAATTAGTTTTTGCACAAACATAAAAATAGCATTCATTTTATTTATAAAGTCAAATGTTCCAGATTATTGGCAAACATTATTTAAAAGCAAATTTGTTTATGTTTATAAATAGGGCTTATTTAGAACCCTAGACAGATAGTTTAATGACCACAGGGTTTAATGTTGTTGTTGTTAGGTGCTGTTGAATCAGTTCCAACTCATAGCAACCCTATGTATAACAGAACGAAACACTGCTCAGTCCTGTGCCATCCTCACAAGTATGCTATATTTGAGGCCATTGTTACAGCAACTGTGACAATCCATCTCGTCGAGGGTCTCCCGTCTTTTCACCGATCCTCTACTTTACCAAGCATGATGTCCTTCTCCAGGGAGTGGTCCCTCCTGATAACATGTGCAAAGTATGTGAGACGAAGTCTCCATCCTTGCTTCCAAGGAGCACTCTGGCTGTACTTCCAAGACATACTTGTTTGTTCTTCTGGCAGTCCATGGTATATTCAGTATTCTTCGCCAACATCATAATTGGAAAGCATAAATTCTTCTTCGACCTTCCTTATTCATTGTCCAGCTTTTGCATGCATATGAGGAGACTGAAAATACCATGGCTTGGGTCAGGCGCACCTTAGTCCTCAAAGTGACATCTTTGCTTTTCAACACTTTAAAGAGGTCCTTTGCAGCAGATTTGCCCTGCCTGCTGCTTCCATGGGTGTTGATTGTGGATCCAAGTAAAATGAAATTCATGACTTCAGTATTTTCTCCATTTATCATGATGTTGCTTATTGGTCTAGTTGTGAGGATTTTTGTTTTCTTTCTGTTGAGGTGTAATCCATACTGAAGGCTGTGATCTTTGATCTTCATCAATAAGAGCTTCAAGTCCTCTTCACTTTCAGCAAGCAAGGTTGTGTCATCTACATAACACAGGTTGTTAATGAGTCTTCCTCCAATCCTGATGTCATGTTCTTCTTCATATAGTCCAGTTTCTTGGGTTATCTGCTCAGCATACAGATTGAATAAGTATGGTGAAAGGACACAACCCTGATGCACACTGTAATGGATTGAATAGTATCCCCCCAAAATACGTGTCAACTTGGCTAGGCTCTGATTCCCAGTATTGTGTGTGGTTGTCATCCATTAAAAAAATATTGTACTTTAGATGAAGGTTTATAGAACAAATAGTTTCTCATTAAACAGTACACA